TTGGTCCCATGGAGGTGTGGCGAACCCGCCTCTCCCTCAAAGATGATGCAGCTGCCCCTGCCTGGGCATGGTCTGTCTCCTTCAGCCAGGAATCCTTAGGCAATCGGTAGATCTCCAGCCAAGCCTCTGTGCTGCCTGCATTGGGAAATTGCATTGAGCAACTGGAAAGGAGGAGAAAAGGTCTCTCGGGCAAGAGGACTCTGCTGTTATGTATCCTCAAGAATGGGATTAGGGTTCCCTTTCAAATGTAGGATTCCCCAGCTCAGATCCCCACAAAACCCCATGTGGTGGGTGCTGATCAAGGGACTGGAGCTATACCCACTGGTGGTCTCCTAATGGCTGCCTATAGGGTGTCACATGTCCTGTCTTTCTAGCCCTCAAGTTTCCACCCAAGCCTGCTTGTGAGGCACAGAGACCCTGTTGGAGCAGAAGGGGGCATTCACATGAGCTCATGTGGTCCTCACAGCTCTGAGGCTAGGAGATCCCCATACTTTGTTGAGGATTGTTTGCAGCAACAGGTTTGAGGAGAGCATCTCTCTGCAGTTCTCCAGCCTGTCAGGAGAGAGCTTTTCTGCATGCAGGCCTATACGCCCTCAGTGTAAATGTGGGGTCTGGGGACAAGGTTGGTGATTAGAGAAGGAGGAGGGAGTCTGCTTTGCTTTTGATGGCCTGTCTGGCAGCCCAGAGGTATCACTGACCAGCCCCAGAGCGAACTGCTTTCCAGGATTAGCTGGCCACTTGGGCTGGGTCCCTGCCAGGCCTTTGGCAGATGAAAGAGAGGAGCAGCGTCCGCTCTCCTCTGCTGGAAGGACACATGAGGGCACTGGGGAACCCCAGAGGATGCTCCCTAGGCTGGTGAGTTGCACCCATTGAAACAGGACAGCCAACATCTGACACCACAAATTCTTCGGACTTGCCTTGCAGCAGGACGCCTGCATAATGGCTCCCGTGGGAGAGCTCTGCCACCACACAGGTGTTTCGCTTGCTGATCTCTTCCTGTCAAAGAAAGGCATGCTGGCATCAGAACAGGCCAGGGCTGCTGAGCAGGGATAGGGCCTCTAATGCACCTGGGGAATTTGACAGGTGCCAGGAGAATGGGTCCATGATGAATGTTCCATGTACAGAAGGTTGGTGTGGGAGCAGGAGGGGGAGGAGATGTACTTGTTCTTGAGGGTTTACTCCTGCACCCCCTAGTGCTCCCAGATTCTCAGGTAGGGCTCATGACCAGAGGTGCCTTTTCCTATGTGCATTGGGCTAAACAGATGTGTCCATTTCCTTCAGCTCCACATCTCAGCAGAGTCATGCCCCCAGTGGCTTAGCACAGCGAGCTTTGCATTGGGCTACCATTGAAAGCCACCCTGGAGCACCAGTAGGTGCAGAATGTAGCTTCTGCAGAGACAGGGAGAGGAGCATGGATGGCAGGTATCCAGGCATGGCCCTGCTCACACTTCACCCCCAGGATCCCACTTCAGCTGTGCCACCCAGCTTCCCAGAGGTGGGGGGGATACTACAGTGGCACGACACATTCTCCCTCCCAGCACTCTGGTATTGGGTAGAGCTGGGGGGCAGAGGGCTGTGGGCACAAGCCAGCTTGGAGCAGGGGCTGGTGGCCATGGGATGGGGCCTCTTGGTTCTGAGGTGTGTGAAAGGGGCAGGGTGTTGGGTAGAAGAGGCAGGGATGGGAGCTAGCTTTCCCCAGCCAGTAATTCACATGCCGCTCAGAGAGGAATGTGGAAGAAAGGTAAGAAGGTTGCAGTGACATGAGCAGAGCAAAGGTAATAAAGGCAGAGAGTGCTGAGAGCCCAGACTGAAAGGGGTTAGTTTGGGCAAGGCCTATGGTTTGGGTCCTCAGTGGGGACCCTTCAGCCCCGAGAGGCTCCTCCCTGAGGCTGAGCAAAGGCCCATGGTTCCTTTGGCCATAGGCACCAGTGTGTCTATGATTTCTGTAAGGCTGTGTGGGCATTGGTGGGGCCTGTTGGGGTGTTTGCGGAGAGCAGACCTGTAAGGTCCATGGGCCTGGTCCCCAGCCAGAGGGATGCTCTGAAGTCAGAGATGGCAGCAATAGAATGTCCTGCTGCCCTGTGGGGTTTGTCACAAAAAAGATGTGCAGTGTACGGCATGGAAGGGCACCAGCTCCATGAGGACAAGAACCTGTCATGTCACCAGAGTCTTGACATGCAGCTACCCCCTGCAAACAGCTAGGGAGGGCTGAGGAGCATCACTGGCTTTGAACTTGCTAAAGGGGATGTGAAAACAAGTACAAATTATTCCCCAGCCTAGTGTGGGGTTTGTCACAAAAAAGATGTGCAGTGTACGGCATGGAAGGGCACCAGCTCCATGAGGACAAGAACCTGTCATGTCACCAGAGTCTTGACATGCAGCTACCCCCTGCAAACAGCTAGGGAGGGCTGAGGAGCATCACTGGCTTTGAACTTGCTAAAGGGGATGTGAAAACAAGTACAAATTATTCCCCAGCCTAGTGTCTCTCCCCTGGGCCAGAGTCCCAGCACTCCTGTCTCTGTGCCTGAGTCGCTCTGATCCAGCCTGCCAGAGCCAGACTGCACATTACTGGAAGACAGGCTGCTTTAGTGCTGAGCTACTTTGATCCTGAATACTGATGCACCCCTGGAAGGTTGACATCTCAGAGAAGATTCTGGGTATACCCCGGGGTCTGTCGCAGGAAATGGGTTCATGCGCCATTGACCCAGTTAAAAGGATCTGATCTCCAGGCCAGCTGCTGCCCAAAGCAGTGTGTTTCCTAAGTGCTGTTAGTAATCATGATTATTTATTACACAAAGGCTTTTGCCTCAGTGCCCATAGCACAAGTAGAGGACTTACGGCTTCATTCAGGACTTTAATGAGCAGCAGGCTGTCCTTATGAAAATAAAAGAGCCGAGCAAGGCCTGGAGGAGAAAAACAGAGGCAAGACGTGAGTGGGAAGACAGTGAGGGGTGCAGCTTAGCTCCTTGGGAGGCTGCAGTAACAGCACTAAGTGCCTTCTAAAAAAACAGGACTATGTAGCACTTTAAAGACTAACAAGATGTTTCAGCTACACCAGACTAACACGGCTACATTTCTATCACTATTCTAAGTGCCTTCTGTGGTTCTCAGAAGATTCGGCCATGCCTTGCAGTGCTGATGGCCCCAGAGGATATGTCTATGCTGCAATGAGAGTGCATTCCCCCCTCCCCGAGCAGACATACACTAGCTCCACTCAAGCTCACACGCTAAAAATAGTGGTGTGGATGTTATGGTGTTGAGGGCAACTCAGGCTAGCTTCCTAGTCCATCCTCACCTGACACCCTAGCTCTGAGCTCAGGTGGCTAGTCTGAGCTGCTGCTCTCATTGCCCCATCCATGCTGCTATTTTTATAGTGCTAGCTTGACCCTCCCCCACACACCATCACCCCCTGTACTAGCACAAGGTCTGTCTGCTTAATTGGAGGCTCACTGATAGCAGCCCTCCCCCACAAGAGAATGAAGAGGGGGAGGTGGGTGAAAGCCGCAGTCATTTTCATGCACCTCTCAGCTACTGGAGTCAGTGCAGCAATGCTTAGAATTTGGAAAGCATCTCTGCATCTGTCTTACTAGGGGTGTCACAGCAGCACCTAAGACATGGGTTTCAGGGGTCCTCCTCCACCACGCACTCCCTCGGGTGGTCCCAAGTCCAGCATGGAGACAGCCTGTGCTCCACGAGGATTTGCTCAGCTCCAGCTTTCTTCAC